TCATATCAAGTCAGTTGCAATTAACAATGAGCTTAACACATTTTCCCCACTTTTGCCATCGAATCTAGACATTAAATTTGGTGTGACGAACCAACCACTTACTACTTTCCCTGTATTCGAGCAACATGGCGGTGTATCGGATTGGTGTGTGATGTGGGGATAGTTGCTCGTAAGGTCCCACTTTTGGATGTGTAGTAGTCACAACCCCTGTACCATAATATTTCTCTTCCGCCCAGCCCTTACTGTAATGTTATAGACCAAAATGAGGCAAGTCTAGATTTGCAGACGTTCCGAATCTCATCGTAGTTCATTATCAATTTAAATGTGGCTGTGTTTCTATTAGTCCTGCACCATGACCGTGGAATTTATATTTTTTAGGTATTTTTATTTACTAAGAGCTTAGGCAAGTCTAGATCAAATAACCAAGTCTAGTTTTCTTGATTCCACATATGAAAAGAGCAGAAGAGGAAAGGTTCTTTCGAAAAAGTATTTATTTATTATTCTAAAGAATGTTAGTCTATGTTTCTATCAAAATTACACTCCTCAAAATAACAAACGCACAGGTAGATTTTTAGTAAATTCATTGTACCTAATAAATATAAGATATATTTAATTTAACATCATAGACACCAATATGCAATTTTGGAGCTCGGTAGTCACATGTTGTCGTTGTACAAAGGCATTGAAAACTGTTCATTGTCATGTAACCTAAGGCCACAAGGTTGCGCTGAACTCAGTATCTCGTGTGACCGCCCCGGCCAGCAATCACGGCTCTGCATCTCCTCGTCACTGACTGGATAAGTGTACGAATTCTGTCCTGCGGAATTGTGCGCCATTCTGCTTGTAACGCGTTGGCCAGTTGTCGGAGTGTCTGTGGCGTGTTCTGACGTTGACATACACGTCGATCGAGTTCATCCCAGAGGTGTTCGATTGGGTTACGATCTGGAGATATCGACGGCCAGGGCAAGACGTTGATGTTGGTATTATGAGGGTAGTCTATCGTGACACGAGCTGTGTACGGTGGGGCGTTGTCCTGTTGAAACAGCTCCCTCTGGCGGTCAATGATTGGAAGAAAGTGAGGTTGAAGAATTTGATTCATGTAGCGATTTGCTGTCAAATTTCCCTGAATAACAACCAAGTCAGATCTCGTGGTGTAGGATATGGCCCCCAACATCATGACACTACCGCCACCGAATTTGTCGAATTCACGTACAATATGGGACAAAACGCTCATTTCGACGACGATAAACACGTTGTCTCCCATCTATCCGGTGAAGAAGAAATCGTGATTCATCGCTAACCCACACTTGTCGACAGTTTCTCAAATTCCAAGGCTGTAAGGTATGGCGACAACGCAAGCGTCGCTGTCGATGGATCTGTTGCAAAACAGGGACGATAACTGGTCTTCTGGGTCGGATTCCAGCCTCGCAAAGGTGGTTCCCGACAGTCTGGTCCCATATCCTCCTCAAACCAGGGATGCGTCCTGCAGTCCCCGTAGCTGTGGCATTGCGATGACGTAGGTGGAACAGTCGAATGTAGCGATCCTGTGCAGGGGTGGTAACTCTTGGTCTGACGGTTCTCTGACGGTCTGCAGTGGAATTGAACAGTATGTATCGTTCCCAAAGGCGGCAAATGGTGCTGTGGTGGACGTTGAAGTGGCGTGCAACAGAAGACTGCGATTCCCCTCTTTGGATACGTCCTATGACGATGTTCCGATCAAGTTTTCGAACTTGAAAAATGTTGACAATTGAATGACAAATTATTGGCGTATGCTTGCCTTTTTCTAGCCACTACCACGAGTTACGAATGCCTTAACTTGCACGTGCATTTTGCTTTACTGTTTTCCTCCATGAAATCTTTGACGCGTGTGAAATGCCGCTTAAGACATTGTGAATCGACAATGTTTGCGTTTTGACGCACCGTTTGTCGAATATCATTTTTCCAATAACATATATCCAATTTATATATACTGGATTTTTTGTGTAGTCAGGTTCAATGAACTACTTACTACGTGTGCGTTTCTCTTTTTTTGAAGAGTGTATATATTTACAGATTACAGAGACTAAATTAGCGTTAGTTCAGACATGTAGTAAACATGTTTGGCATCATATTTTTTTTTTTGCATTCAAGACCATTTCGGTCTGTGTTAGCATATATATATATTTGACCTTGTTGTATTGCGATCTTCTTTTTGCTTTATCGCCCTTCGTTAATTGCAAGATAATAAACATTCAAATAGGACCGCAGTTGCCTCCCGTTCTCTTAGTCTTGAGATTATATAAAAAGACCCATGCAGCGTGATCGGTATACAACCATTGCAGATGAAATATAATTCCCTACTTCTCAACCCCACCTCTCTCCCCATCATCCCTCTCGACCATACGAAGTTGGTGCATTTGGGAATATATAGTGCTGAGGTGTCAGTTTTCAACTGCAGGCGTCGGCCGCCGCCCACAGCAGGGTCGGCATGTTTGGTGTAGATATAGACGTGTAGTCCGTGCAGCGTGTTGCTATGCCGGCCAGATGAGGCAGTGTTTGGCCAACACGGGTGTGGTAAAGAGATACACACACTGCGATCCCCCGAGGCTAGGCTACTACAGTTTTCCGGTTTTGTAGTAAACCGGCCCGGCACCGAATAAACCCGTTACTATGGTTACAAGGGAGAAATTCTATACTTTTGATAATACATATACAAATCTGCAAAAAAACGTTAACAAGAGATTAGTTTTTATATTTTAGATTTTAATAATCTGTCAGTTCCGACAAATATGGGGACGTATGTCTGATGTTCGGCTGTTCCGTTATGATATATACCGGGTAGGGGCTAGTAATACCCGAGTACACGAACCAGCATCAGTATTGTTAAGCCAGTCTGCATACACGGATGATCTACAGGAACAATCAAAGCTATGGAGATCCTATACCACTATAGAACTCCCGACAGCACGTTGTTCTATGCTATAAACCTATGCAACTATAAAGACCCTGACAATACCTCCCCCAATACACTGGTGTAACCTTGGGGTACCAAGAGACAATACCACCCACCCCCACACTGGTGTATAACTCCGATTACATACACATGAAGCATAGCTGCTAAAGAGGCTATTCCCGTCTTACTGGTGTGTAGATCTGACCCTGGCAAACAGCTTATACAGACAGGTAACTGCAGCATGTTCGAGATGCAGTAAACACGTCGTCCTTGGCAGCCGCTTGCAACATCGGCGGTGATAACGTCAGCGTTGATTACATTTATCAGTCGTCTTGCCTCCTCATCTACGGAGAGTTAGCCGGCTGAACTCGGGGATACATAGATGCAGTTACGGCAACGACTGCTTCTGCTTCGTTAAGAACTACGACATCCATCAACATCTTGCATAACATCCTCCTCTAAAGTTATAGCCACTGTAACTACACCTACTGTTACTTTTGATTCCCCATCAACTGCTGCTATTACTGTTACTGCTACTACTTCACCCACCACAACAACTACCACTACCACCCCCACCGCCAATATTACTACTACTACTACTACTACTACTACTACTACTACTACTACTACTACTACTACTGCCACTGCTACTACACATGCTACTATTGTTATTACCACTTCTTCTGCTGCTGCTGCTACTACTACTACTGTTACTTCTACCACTACAACTACTACCACTATCATCTCCAATACCAATATTACTACCACCACTACTACTTCTACTACTACTACTACTACTACTACTACTACCACTACTACTGCCACTGCTACTACAAATGCTGCTGCTATTACTACTACTTCTGCTGCTACTACTACTACAACTACTACTACTACTACTATTACTTCTATCATCATCGCCACAACTACTACTACGACTACTGCTGCCACTACCACCACCACTACTACTGCTGCTACTACTACAACTGCTTCTAATACTAATACTGCTACCACCACTACTACCACAACTACTACTACAATTACTCTTACAACTACCGATACTACTACTACCACTACTATTACTACTACTGTTACTACTGCTACCACTACTACCATAACTACTACGACTACTTCAAAAACCACTACGACTACTACAAGCTCTACCCCTACTACTACTGCTTCCACTACAACTACCATCACTACAACGCATACCATCATTTGTTCTGTTTCTACACAACCAATGTCTTTACCAGCGTCTACAGCTACAAAGCGTCGTTACTCCTATTCACGAGCCCATGCCTTGCCTCGCCTACAACGCCTACTACGTCATCAACAGCTACTACTACGAGCGTAGCACCCAAATGTCAAAACTTTCTGCTTGAAATCTGAGCTTCAAGCATTTCAAAACTTTCAAACACGTGTTCTATGCCAACAGCGGCCTGTATCGTCGCTCTATGTGTTGCCCCGAGCGATGTTTTAGACGAAAGGATGAGTAATTTAACACCCATCATTTTCTAAACATAATGATAAATAGGATTCATATCCAATAAAACACTAAACAACTCGACAAATAGACTAACATTCAGTCTATGAAATCTTATATTACACAATACCCTTCTCGACCCTACAATTAGTCAAATAATTTTCCCCAATGGAATAGAGATAGCTAGAGCTGGCTAGACTTGCTTTTGTATACATATTTAGATATATTATTTTTCATAAAATAAATATATTTCACAGTCATGGTGTGTATAAATTTTCATATCTAACCTCGAATATTCATATTCAAATTTTGCAGTCAACGATGAATCTTCATGATAAGCCACTGACGCACTTCAAATATCGATTACCATATATGTATATAATGAACATGCTGGTCCGTCTGATGAGTCAACCGCCATAGGTGCAGAAGTCCACGCCCATCTCAAGCCTTTACCGCAGACGTTCAACACCATTGTTGACCAACACAAAACACTCCTCCATCAATGAAATGATCATAATTATTATAATGGGTACCACATTCCTATAACATTTAATACATCAAGCCACCGGGTGTGTCGATTAGTGGGATATTTACTCTCGCTAACACCAGGCGATCTCGCCAATCAAACTGTATATTGCGTCCCGTGTGCAAAACTTTCCCGGCTGAATCAGTAGCGTTCTAGAACGATTGAAACACTTACAACCAACGCTCCATCACTCACTCTACCACCATGCCACCAAAATTCGTAAGTAGTTTGTGTTTATATGTTAGATTGGGGTCGATAAGAGTCGCAAAATATGAAATAAGTATTCATTTGTTTTAGATTCATGAGTACAATTCACTGGATTTAAATCTATAGTGTTTGTGGGGGGTAAGTCGATCTCAGAGCGCTGGGATGAAGTTGGGGCGAGTGTAGACACCAGGGATGGGGCGTTGGGGGGTTGCAGCGGGGGTGAAACATGTTGATCCACCATGGAATGAACAACTGCAGCTGGAGACTTCATATCTCGTCAGCCTAGAGCAGTACTTATTCCTGGATTGTTGAGTGTTCGAGCAGACGACTTTTTCCTGTGGCAGAGTACCGCAGCACTAACGACTTTCGTTTTCCGCTGAGTTGTGTTGCTATGTTTTTATTTTGTTCCTGCTGTGTCCCAGTTTATATGTGCGAGATTTCACAGCAAACTTTGAACACAGGGAGGAAACAGCAGTGATATTCACAACAAACTTCATAATCCGTGTTACAAAACCTCGCGCTGAATTATGCGCTGTAGGACTCCAAATTTGCAGGGAATATTCACATGACCGCTCTAATCTATGAATAAAACTGACATGTAGGATGTTTAACGTCAGTAGAGGTGTTTAAGCGTTGCTATTGGAGGTATTTACTCTATCGACCCGCCCCGGCTGGGGTCTGCTCACAACGTCGAGATCAATGCCAGGTTTGCATCACTCAACAATGTGGTTATTGAAATACGGCTAGTCGTGTTCCAGAAATATCTTCTATGGTTAACGCCTTTTTAATTTAATACACAATGACCCTTCTGTCATGTCGGGACACAGCATGGTGTAGCAAACAAACAACTTGATTTTATGACCTCAGAGTCGCCGTGCCATCCAATCACAACTCTCTTCTGAAGACGATTTATATATCTTACTTACTGCCTGAACTTATCTCCATGCCTAAGAGCTGGGCAAACGCTACCCAAACGAGTCTTCACAAGCGCTTCAACGTTCTCTCTGGCGCAGGTAAATGGCATAGTTGATACTCTAGCCTGCCTCACAGTCCCTGAACTAGATTATTTTCCCATCCGCGCAGCCCTTGTGTAACGCTACAGTCCTAAATAAAGCAAGTCTAGATTTGCCTAGTCTGAATTACCTCATCTCACCGGTGCTCCTTTTCAAATTAAGTGTAGTTGTTTGTTTCTATCAAAATTATATATCTTCAGAGACGTCTAGTTGCCATCTTACACCGACGCACTCTATCGTGTTTGACTGGTGTAGCGAGTTCCTAAGCGCGCCAAACGAGAATACATTCATGCCATTTTCAATATTTGAACAAGATCTCTCTCGCAACCGAAACACCTCTACTTCATTGCTGGATTGTTTACAATTGCCCATCTACTGAGTCGCGCCCAGAGTAAATTGCTCTCAAGGGGGAGCTCATGCATTTATGTATCCACACACGACCCTGCCCACTACAGTTGGTATTGCAGCTGAGGGGTGCAGGCAGGCGTTAGCATATACTGTGTACCGGCAGCACGCGATATACAGTGATGATAAATGCTTTATCAGGTCATGTCGTAGGTGGTTACAATGTTAAATGAGCGGCAGCGCTGATAATCCGTTATGACATGGCTGATACTCGGTTTATTACATAGCTGATATTCAGTTATTACACAGCTGATGCTCAGTTTATAACATAGTTGATACTAAGTTTATTACATAGCTGATACTCAGTTTATTACATAGTTGATACTAAGCTCATTACATAGCTGATGCTCAGTTTATTACATAGCTTATATTCAGTTTATTACTTGGCTGATGCTCAGTTTATTACATATCTGATACTCGGTTTATTACATAGATTATATTTAGTTTATTACATAACTGATATCCAGTATATAACACAGCTGATTCTCAGTTTATTACATAGCTTATGCTCGGTTTATTACATAGGTGATGTTCAGTTCATTACATAGCTGATACCTAGTTTATTACACAGCTGATACTCAGTTTATTACAAAGTTGATACTCAGTTTATTACATGGTTGATACTCCGTTTATTACATAGCTGATACTTACTTTGGGACACTGTTGATACTCAGTTCATTACATAACATGTAATGTATATGATAAGACGTATAAAGCACACACACGTTATTATTCATACCTCGTAAATGGCTGAGTGACTTTTCAAAAGCAGCAAAATCCCCTCACGATTTCATTACACCTCGTCTTTCATGGCCACAGAAAACTGCGACCTGCTTTGTGCAGGCCCACATTCCTTCATAGAATCAACTATGTGTCACAGACAAGAAACATTCTATACATAATTCTATACTCTTTCCGCTGCAATAAAAGGGCACCGTAATCCTTTCCGTGTTTAAGACGATTTATTGAAATTATATCACTGACGCAATATAGGGGATTGAAATATGGTAATTTGATCTAGGCGTCAATGCAGGTTTATTCACACCGACGGAGGGCGACCTGACACGCCGAGTAATGCAGATGGTGATAGAATAGCCTCACTACCAAACCGGAAGTCGTAAGAACGTGCTTCCGGCGTGCCAGATAAGGATTAATAACTTCTGCGTCAGAAGGAGTTCCCTGATGGATGGAATGCATCACTAATCGTTTTTTAATAACCCTTTTTTTGTTCTTATAAAGCATTTTTGGTTGTTGTTTTTTGTCATCTGAGAACAGATTTTGAGAGAAGAGATTTTACATTTTTATAATTTTTACAAACTTAATGAACCTGGATTTTTTATAATAATTTGAAGATGAGACATTCATTTGAGTATTACCTCAGGGTAAAGTAGAATCTTACTTTCGTGGGCGGTATTTGCGAAAGACATAAATGGGTTTGCTTCGTTTTGATACGCCCCCTCCAAATTTGCACTTCAGCTTGGAGCTCGCGAGCATGATCTCCACAAGCTGCTCTTGTGATCCCGCTTTGGAGGGATGCGCTCAAAGGGGATTAAAATAAATATTAAGAGGGTTGTGAAGAATCACCTAAAGTCCAGGATGCAGGTTAATCCGAGGATTGTCATTTAAATCTGTGAGGAAACTTTCTCCTGGATTATATTGTTTGTAGAATCGACAAAACTGCAACGTGACGTTTCATCCCGTATTTTTTGTAAACATCTCCGCTTTTCAATAATGCTGCTGTCAAATCAACGCAACATGTGGCGTTATTCAATAAGATTCGTGGATAACTAGTTCCATTGCTCCGTATAGTTTGCCTTGCAGAATAAGTTCCCTCCTAAGGATGGGGTAGGCACGGTTGACCCAGACGTCTAAGGCGCCGCAATTCACTGTGCAGAGTTGCGTCCCTTGGGCACGCCAGAAACATATGATTGTGGGTTCGAATCCCGGTTCGCCCCGATTATGTTTCTAGGATTATCAGCACCATATCGTGCTCTTGGGTTTCACCGAAGTGGTAAACCTCTGAGACCTGCATTACTTCGGACTTTCCTCCCACATTAAGCTGACACGCCGTGATATAACCGGAATACTTTTAAAAGCGGCGTTAAACCCAACTCACTCCCTCTAAGTTGTTGATGTGGTCCTAACCTGGGTGATCTCAGCCATTGCTTTGGTTTGGAATAAAATAACAGTGGACATCCACTGTTAAAGAACCACTGCCGATGTTTCGAAGTGTGAATTTGACCTCAGAATTACATGGATACTTGTTGTTTGCAACGAATCCTGTCTCTGGCAACCTGTAGCGTTTGTTTTTTTCAGCGATGGTTTATTCATTGGATGTTTTGTGATTCACAACGGGGTGTATTTGGTAGGGCGCCTTGTAATAATCATGCATTGTCCCACCAAACCTTGACTGTTGTGAGAACCGGAGTCTGTCCGGCCTCCCAGGGGCATGGTAATCTCGGGTGTGACTACAACGTGTTCCCGGAGTCAGTCGACCACGTCAGCAACAACCGCCACCCATGCGTCTCGACCTGTACCAGACCGCCTCCGTGGTCTTGTGGTAGAGCGTCCGCCCGGAGAGCGGAAGGTCCAGGCTTCGATCCCGGGCCGCGTCATACAAAAAGACGTTAAAAGATTGTACTTGTTGTTACCCTGTCTGGCGCTCGGCATTAAGGGGCTAAAACAAGGACTGGTCGGCTCGGAGTCAGTATACTGTGTCTGAGTGGGGTATTCATGTTAAACTGCGGCATGGTATCTCAGTGAGCTAGCACTATAAATCGGCATCAGTCCGGACTAGTACAAGCAGCCACACACACACATACACGTGCATGCACGTCGCTATATAAGTGCAATAATCTTGGACGCGACGTTAAACCCAATTTCACCTCACCCTCGACCTGTACCAAAGCCTGACACACATGTCAGTCGGGGTGCAACGAATACATACGATATGTATCACGAATATAGGGTAACGAATACGAATATTTATTTACAAATAAAATAACAATTCAGCAGTTGATGTATTACTTATTATATTCAGTGAAATAATAACAAAATAAACTAAGCCGTAAATAGCAATCAGCTGTACACATATTTTCTCCCAATCTACGGATGATTCAGTTAAAAAATACCCAATAATATAAGTTCAAAGAATTTTGATGCAATGGTCGGAAGAATTGTATCTGAAACTATTATTTTATCAGGAATAATATATACCGTTATCGTGTTATTTTAGCTACAGCATTTACTACACGTCACGTGTAACTAGTCAGCTGGCTCTGGTGCGAGAGTCTGTTGTGATCAACTCCGACCTTTAGGAGAGGATATCTGCTAGACACGTGCATCTCATTCAGACAGGCGAAGTGACGTCATAGGTTAGAATAAAGGCTATATTCACCTACAAGTGCTATTTCAGGCAGCTGCACTCGCCAGTAGTTGGGATATCAATAACACAGGACGTTGTCCTTCGCCTGCCTTGCTGCAAGGTTGCATGTCACGGACTGATATTAATTCATTATAATATTGTTTTTAATTAGTATCTAAATCAAGAACACTTTTGGAAAATGAACATTGCTTGTCGAGATTCTCTTCCGAAAACATGTCGAGTTTGACACAACAGTGTCGCCTTCACAGATGGGAAAGCCAGGTGCTCCTAGTCCTTCATTAACCAGGTGCATCATTGTCGCATCATATCAGTTAAAGATTGCAAACAGTTCGAACACTTGTTCAATTAGATACGCTTTAAGCACTCATAAATTCATGCCCTGAAGTGTACGTCACAGCTTTGTATAACTGATTTGAGTCATCGAATGTTGATCGGAGATGTTTTTATGTGTTGTAAACGGTCACCACAACGATGGATGGGTACTGATATATCAATGTGGTGAGTTCGGTTTAACGCCTTTTTAAACAGTATTCCAGTTATATCACGGCGTGTCAGCTTAATGTGGGAGGAAAGCCCGAAGTGATGCAGGTCTCAGACGTTTACCACTTCGGTGAAACCCACGAGCACGATATGGTGCTGACAAACCTAGAAACATAATCGGGTCGAAACGGGATTCGAACCCACAATCATAGGGTTCTTGTGTGCCCAAGGGACGCAACTCTGCACAGCGAGCGCCTTAGACGACTGGGCCACCCGTGCCCCCTTTGTAACAATGTACCCCTTGACAAGTATTGCATGTGATATGTATCATTAAGTAACCATGTGGTACTTATGTAACCATGTGATACTGATGTAACCAAGAGGTAACTATGAAACCATATGATAACTATCTAATCGCGTAATAACCATGTAACGATGTGATAACCATGCCACAACAATGTAACCATGGGATAAAAATGTAACCGTGCGATAACAATGTAACTACGTGGTGTTGCAGGGAGGAGGAGACAAGTGCCGCATCTGCGAGAAGACGGTGTACGCCCAGGAGAAGATCGAGGCAGGAGGACTCATCTTCCACAAGAACTGCTTCAAGTGCAGCGTGGAGATTTGTAAGATGCAGCTGAAGTGAGTTATTGGATTTAACCGCTATCATATGATACCATGTTGGGAAGGGTTGGTAATGTGTTCGCTCTGTAGACTCGGGTTGCTTCCGGCATGGCTGAGACAATGATCTAAGGACCCTCCGCATTGCTGTACCAGTATCCACAGGTCGTCATTTGGCCATGGTTAAGTTTCCTGGGTCTCGCTTTGTATAACGTGGTTCTGGGACTTGATCGTGGATCTCATGCACCGTCTGTGACCAACGTCAATACTTATCACACCTGTATTACCGTATTAATCATTCTCCAAACTTTACAGGCCAATGATGTAGATACAGTGTTGCTCTACACACTTGTCAGGTCAATGATGTAGATACAGTGTTGTTCTACACACTTGTCAGACCAATGATGTAGATACAGTGTTGCTCTACACACTTAATAGGCCAATGATGTAGATACAGTGTTGCTCTACACACTTGTCAGGTCAATGATGTAGATACAGTGTTGTTCTACACACTTGTCAGACCAATGATGTAGATACAGTGTTGCTCTACACACTTAATAGGCCAATGATGTAGATACAGTGTTGCTCTACACACTTGTCAGGTCAATGATGTAGATACTCTACACACTTGTCAGGTCAATGATGTAGATACAGTGTTGCTCTACACACTTGTCAGGCCAATGATGTAGATACAGTGTTGCTCTACACACTTGTCAGGCCAATGATGTAGATACAGTGTTGCTCTACACACTTGTCAGGCCAATGATGTAGATACAGTGTTGCTCTACACACTTGTCAGGTCAATGATGTAGATACAGTGTTGCTCTACACACTTGTCAGGCCAATGATGTAGATACAGTGTTGCTCTACACACTTGTCAGGTCAATGATGTAGATACAGTGTTGTTCTACACACTTGTCAGACCAATGATGTAGATACAGTGTTGCTCTACACACTTAATAGGCCAATGATGTAGATACAGTGTTGCTCTACACACTTGTCAGGTCAATGATGTAGATACTCTACACACTTGTCAGGTCAATGATGTAGATACAGTGTTGCTCTACACACTTGTCAGGCCAATGATGTAGATACAGTGTTGCTCTACACACTTGTCAGGCCAATGATGTAGATACAGTGTTGCTCTACACACTTGTCAGGCCAATGATGTAGATACAGTGTTGCTCTACACACTTGTCAGGCCAATGATGTAGATACAGTGTTGCTCTACACACTTGTCAGGTCAATGATGGAGATACAGTGTTGCTCTACACACTTGTCAGGCCAATGATGTAGATACAGTGTTGCTCTACACACTTGTCAGACCAATGATGTAGATACAGTGTTGCTCTACACACTTGTCAGGCCAATGATGTAGATACAGTGTTGCTCTACACACTTGTCAGGCCAATGATGTAGATACAGTGTAGCTCTACACACTTGTCAGACCAATGATGTAGATACAGTGTTGCTCTACACACTTGTCAGACCAATGATGTAGATACAGTGTTGCTCTACACACTTGTCAGGTCAATGATGGAGATACAGTGTAGCTCTACACACTTGTCAGGTCAATGATGGAGATACAGTGTTGCTCTACACACTTGTCAGGTCAATGATGGAGATACAGTGTTGCTCTTCACACTTGTCAGACCAATGATGTAGATACAGTGTTGCTCTACACACTTGTCAGGCCAATGATGTAGATACAGTGTTGCTCTACACACTTGTCAGGCCAATGATGTAGATACAGTGTTGCTCTACACACTTGTCAGGCCAATGATGTAGATACAGTGTTGCTCTACACACTTGTCAGGCCAATGATGGAGATACAGTGTTGCTCTACACACTTGTCAGGTCAATGATGTAGATACAGTGTTGCTCTACACACTTGTCAGGTCAATGATGTAGATACAGTGTTGCTCTACACACTTGTCAGGCCAATGACGGAGATACAGTGTTGCTCTACACACTTGTCAGGCCAATGATGTAGATACAGTGTTGCTCTACACACTTGTCAGGCCAATGATGTAGATACAGTGTTGCTCTACACACTTGTCAGGCCAATGATGTAGATACAGTGTTGCTCTACACACTTGTCAGGTCAATGATGGAGATACAGTGTTGCTCTACACACTTGTCAGGCCAATGATGTAGATACAGTGTTGCTCTACACACTTGTCAGACCAATGATGTAGATACAGTGTTGCTCTACACACTTGTCAGGCCAATGATGTAGATACAGTGTTGCTCTACACACTTGTCAGGCCAATGATGTAGATACAGTGTAGCTCTACACACTTGTCAGACCAATGATGTAGATACAGTGTTGCTCTACACACTTGTCAGACCAATGATGTAGATACAGTGTTGCTCTACACACTTGTCAGGTCAATGATGGAGATACAGTGTAGCTCTACACACTTGTCAGGTCAATGATGGAGATACAGTGTTGCTCTACACACTTGTCAGGTCAATGATGGAGATACAGTGTTGCTCTACACACTTGTCAGGCCAATGATGTAGATACAGTGTTGCTCTTCACACTTGTCAGACCAATGATGTAGATACAGTGTTGCTCTACACACTTGTCAGGCCAATGATGTAGATACAGTGTTGCTCTACACACTTGTCAGGCCAATGATGTAGATACAGTGTTGCTCTACACACTTGTCAGACCAATGATGTAGATACAGTGTTGCTCTACACACTTGTCAGACCAATGATGTAGATACAGTGTTGCTCTACACACTTGTCAGGCCAATGATGTAGATACAGTGTTGCTCTACACACTTGTCAGGTCAATGATGGAGATACAGTGTTGCTCTACACACTTGTCAAGTCAATGATGGAGATACAGTGTAGCTCTACACACTTGTCAGGTCAATGATGGAGATACAGTGTTGCTCTACACACTTGTCAGGCCAATGATGTAGATACAGTGTTGCTCTACACACTTGTCAGGTCAATGATGGAGATACAGTGTTGCTCTACACACTTGTCAGACCAATGATGTAGATACACTGTTGCTCTACACACTTGTCAGACCAATGATTTAGATACAGTGTTGCTCTACACACTTGTCAGGCCAGTGATGTAGATACAGTGTTGCTCTACACACTTGTCAGGTCAATGATGTAGATACAGTGTTGCTCTACACACTTGTCAGGCCAATGATGGAGATACAGTGTTGCTCTACACACTTGTCAGGTCAATGATGTAGATACAGTGTTGCTCTACACACTTGTCAGACCAATGATGTAGATACAGTGTTGCTCTACACACTTGTCAGGTCAATGATGTAGATACAGTGTTGCTCTACACACTTGTCAGGCCAATGATGTAGATACAGTGCTGCTCTACACACTTGTCAGACCAATGATGTAGATACAGTGTTGCTCTACACACTTGTCAGACCAATGATGTAGATACAGTGTTGCTCTACACACTTGTCAGGTCAATGATGTAGATACAGTGTTGCTCTACACACTTGTCAGGCCAATGATGTAGATACAGTGTTGCTATGTCATGTTATGCACAAGAAATTGTTGTTGTAGCTCTGTAACAAGGGACCAATCGTCATGGAAACGAAATGTGTTTTGTTTTTCAGGCGTGAGAACTACGCCCAAGAGGGAGGCACGTTATACTGCAAGAAACATTTCGCCTCAGAAGTGACGGCGAAAAACACGCAAAACCCAACAACCTTTTAACTCAACAGGACACCGGAGTGCCTTTCTCAATGCATTGTGGGATACATGCTGGTCACGTGATTTGACGTTATCACGTTTTGTAGTCTTCTAGGAGAGATCGACTCCTGTGTCAATAGGTGGCAATACGACTCTCAGTGTGCCTAGCTGAAACCAAATACAGTCCATATATATTTATTAGCAACTTCATTGGAAATATAGACGCCTAAGAGCACTTGAAATGTGTTAGAAAGCGTGCATTAAGTTAATGCCAAACCTCAGCTTTACACCCACGAGAGAGAAATGGTCACTATGGCTTCTTTCCTGGTTCCACCTACGATACACGCATTTGCACAAGCCCAAAACACATTTCCGCCGCAGGGAGGTACCATTCTGCTGTTCCACCTGCCACCCCTGTCGGCAAAGTAAACTCTACCGTAGTGCCTTACTGTAGCATGCGAGTGTGTATTCCAAGTAAAAACGTTTCATTGATAATTATAAGTAAAACATCACATTTCGTTTTCAAGTGTAGTATAACATTCCCTTCATAAAGTCTCGTCTTCATTAGGAGCTTTTTTATTATTTTGAATGGCCCCTGGAAGTGTATCGGTGTCGCCATCACTACAGCCCGTCAGACGCCATCTTGTAGATATAGAATTGAGTATCTTGTCAAACATCTGATCTGAAACTTCATACATCATCCAGGTTTTGTAGATATACATTTGTGACATAAAACGTTTTGTTTCGTTTACTGTCGTATGTTGTTGTTTTATTTCACCCAAAGGGTGAGCCAGTGCTGTCACAGTCAGCAACATACCAACTATATCACAGCCTAGCTATGTCACTTGTCTGTAGTCAGAAACACTGTGTAGTCAGCAACATACCAGCTTAATCACAGCGGGCTTTAGACAGCAACATCACAGTTATATCACAGCAACAGCCTAGGTGTCATCACATGTCTGTAGTCAGCAACATTAGAGATAAATCACAGCGGGTTTTAGTCGGCAATATAACAGCTTAATCACAGCGGGCTTTAGACAGAAACATTACAGTTATATCACAGCAACAACCTAGGTTTCATCACATGTCTGTAGTCAGCAACATTAGAGATAAGTCACAGCGGGTTTTAGTCGGCAATATAACAGCTTAATCACAGCGAGTTTTAGTCAGCAATACTACAGCTATATCACAGCAACATCACATCTCTATCACAACAACATTACACTTATATTACAGCAACATCACAGCAATATCGCAACAATCATATAGCTATATAACCGTTGTCTATAGTTAGCAGTATTATAGCTCCATGCTTGCCGTAAAAGGCGACTAAGCTTGTCGTAAGAGGCGACTAACGGGATCGGGTGGTCAGGCTCACTGCCTTGGTTGACGCATGCCACCGTATCCCATTTGCGTGGATCGATGCTCATGAAGTCAATCACTGGATTGTCTGGTCCAGGCTCGATTATTTACAGACCGCCATCATATAGCTTGAATATTGCTGAGCGGGGCGTTAAACAACAAACAAACTAATAAAGCTATACACAGCAACAACACAGCCACATTTCGGCGGTCAGTAGTTCGCAGCATTACGAGTATATCAGAGCAACATTACAGCGCACAATGAAACACATGTCGGAGATCATGTAGCTTGAAAAACACATCCATTGATCACCTTGTTTCATGTTCGTATCCATGCGTCGGTTAGAGGTTATATGCCGTGTCCTTGGGGAGCAACGCAAAGCAACAGCGAGCGAGTGAGCGAGTGAGTGAGTGAGTGGGTGAGTGAGTGAGTGAGTGAGTGAGTGAGGCATCAGCAATCTTCAGCTGGCCGGACATGAAGAGGACATTCTCGGAGATAAGGTACATGTTGAAAAGTACTTGAAGGCACTGTGGGAAATATGTACGTGTGACCAAGGTCAACGCCAATATAAAACATCGATTCAACGTGTTTTGGTGCTGGTATTTGTGTACACGATCCAATAAAAAAAGAAAGTTAGCGGGACAGTTTCTGAGCAGGGATTTTGGCTCGGAATCGAAAAATCACGATATTTTTAAGGTTCTGAAGACGCTAGCTCCCAAAGTGTGACTTCGATTTTCTTCATCTAGGACTCATTGTGCAGCTACATGTATTGGCTTGAAATGGGTGTACAGTTTTATAGGGGTATTTACAGTGGACGTTGTTGAATTCGTCCTCGAACGAACTAGGTGAGGATGCCTCGTTTCATCCCTTTCCTGTTATATAGTGTACTGACACTGGGTGTGACCAGATATCTTGTAGCTTCTGTGTTTTGCGTTACAATCCCATGTGCCTTATTCTTTTGAATAGTATACATCCTCCATTCAATCTTTGTGTTAGTGACATGATACATATAGAGTTGAAATCTACATACTGATCACTCCAAACCTCCCTACATTCAACCGTTTACATCTGCTATCATCTTTTTACATTTCTGTCAAAAACTAAAATCATGTTATAACATTTCCTGGGAAATCTATATGGGGGTATATCTAGCAACCTCAACCGAGACGTAATGATGAGTGAGTGAGTATGCATTTACGCCGCTTTTAGAAACATCCCAGCAATATCACGGCGGGGGAAACCAAAATTGGTCTTTCCATAGAGTACCATGTGTGGAATCGAACCAGGGACTTTCTAAGGGTTCAATCACAAGTCTACCCCACTGCCCCCAAAACTAAATAACCTTAATGTTCAAGTATATATGCATACTAGTAAATCTACCACATTCGCCATACACCATGATACTGGGTGTATGAATCTTAACACTAATTAATTTTTTGCATGTAAATAAATGCTTGAGAAAATGGGAAGAGGAGATATGTTGGTGCCAGTTTTGCTGAAATATATTTTATAACCTTTGTTAAATGTATTTAAAAATACTTTTCCATTACTGGTGTCTTGTGAGATCCTACAAAGGACAATCCAGATATAAATAACATGCTTCTTACACCAGACACCAGATTCGTTTTCAATTCATCATCGAATTGCCCCATTTTGTAACATTGAAATGGGTATCTGTGAGTTTCCATGTTTAATAATTTTAACAAACTGTGTATAAACAACCAGACAGGGTAACAACAAATACAATTTTTTAACGTCTTTTGGTATGACGCGGCCGGGGATCGAACCCCCGGCCTTCCACTCCCCGGGCGGACGCTCTACCACAAGACCACTGAGGCGGTAATATGAGGGTCCTGTAAAGTAATGAAAAGGTGCAGAGTACTGTACTTTTTGATAATTTCTTGAGAGACTCGAATGAATTAGTTATCATGTGGACATTGGTCATTATAGATGCATGGAATGACAGACACCGATAACTGTTCTTGATGCGGTGTAGGCACATGACTATTGTTGTTCGTCCCTCGGGACGCTGTATTTTCTTTTTCGTGGTCCAATCTCAACATTTGTGCGTACTGGGTGCACATTTGTGACTCGCGTAAAACCATGTGATTATGTGAGGTGACATGGGGTTTAACTTCGCGTCCAAGATTATTGCACTTCTATAGCGACGTGCATGTACGTGTGTGTTTGTGTGGCTGCTTGTACTAGTCCGGACTGATGCCGATTTATAGTGCTAGCCCACTGAGATACTATGCCGCAGTTTAACATGAATACCCCACTCAGACACAATATACTGACTCCGAGCCGACCAGTCCTTGTTTTAGCCCCTTAATGCCAAGCGCCAGACAGGGTAGCAACAAGTGCCATCTTTTAACGTCTTTTGGTATGACGCGGTCGGGGATCGAACCCTGTGACCTTCCGCTCTCCGGACGGACGCTCTACCACTAGACCACGGAGGCGCATGTGATTATGTTGCCGCAGTGCTTTTCCTCGTGTGGCGCAAGTGTTCAGACGTTGGAAAGAGATGCAACGACTGGTGAGGCCATTACAGGTAAATGGGCTGATACAAGTGTAGACGTCAAATGTCAAATGAAAATTCGTCAGTGCAACGCCCTTAACTGTATGAGTGCTGAGGATGGAGTGAACGTTTTGGGTTGTGATCTGAATGTCAGTGTCGACGATCGTTTCCAAGAAATTCACGTCTGTGTGTTTTGTATTTGCCGCCCGTGAGTGACAACATTCTCTCAAATATGGCTTGGCCGAGGCTCCGCGCCTCACGACAGAAATAGTGGAGTTCGCAGAACTATTTGCAAGAATTATTGGTTGATGTTGGATAGAAGAAATGTATGGAGGAATCATAGGTATCTTTCCAAGAAGACAAGGCTGTTGTATCATGACCGATTGAACGAAACTGTTGTAAGTGTGCGCAGGGAAATTGTGTTTTGAACCATGTTCGTGGATTATAACCATATTGTATGGGAAATAGGTGGTAGTAGTTCGCAAAACTATATACAGGGACTATTGGACGATGTTGGACATACTGAATGCAGGAAGTAATACTCTAGAGATCTTTCCAAGACCAATGAACCGCCTCAGCGGTCCAGTGGTAGAGCGTCGGGCCGAATCCCCGGCGATGTCATACCAAAAGACGTTAAAAGATGGTACTTGTTGTTACCCTGCCAGGCGCTCGGCATTAACGAACTAAAACAAGGACTGGTCAGTTCGGAGTCAGTATACTGTGTCTGAGTGGGGTATTCATGTTAAACTGCGGCATGGCATCTCAGTGGGCTAGCACTATAAATCGGCATCAGTCAGGACTAGTACAAGCAGCCACACACACACACACACACACACACACACACACACGCGTCGCTATATAATTATCTTGGACGCGACGTTAAACCCCATGTCACCTCACCACGTCCATGACTGTTGACTTGTGGCTGTTTGGACGGGGCTGTGTACGTCATGAAAATACGCCCGATTATGTTTGGAACCATGCAGACCATGCATGTGCTCGTGGATTCAAATATTCTGAATATGGATTATATGGATCATACGTGGTGATAAATATGCTAAATAAATTAAAAAATAAGATTTCTCCTGAAGTGTACATCCACTATTCATCACATGCATATTTCTAAATATTTCAAATTGATCATTTTTCAGTAGAATCTAGAATACATTTACATTAATTGCATGTCTCTAGATGATAGATCCATGCATAAATAAACGATATAGACTTTTTTATTTTATATAAGTTAATTTATTGTCGCTTATTGTTTTTACTTTTAGCCCCAAATGACAAAAAATAAACGCCAACTGTTGTCGGGTTTCAGTAGCCAAATCTAGATTGTTTTATTTGGAATTCTCTTGTCAAAGGTCGTTGTGCGCAGATTGTTCCATGTGGGTGTGGCAGTGTCTGTCAAAATCGTTTCCATTTTGCCATTTTCAGCGGAAAATTCCTTTCAACATTATCTTAAGTCAAAGCACCTAACGCATCTGCATAAAACAGTTGTAGACTGTATAAGCATGTGTTCATTGCAGTATTGAAACATAACGTCTTTGTAAAAACATTTGGTAGTGTTTGTAGGTTCGTTGCCAGTAAACAGACGAACTTGCCGTAAAAGGCGACTATGCTTGTCGTCCAAGGCGACTAGCGTGATCGAGTGGTCAGACTCGCCGACTTGGTTAATGCATGTCATCGTATCCCAGTTGCGTGGATCGATGCTCATCATGTCAATCACTGGTCTGGTCCAGATTCATTTGTTTACAGACCGCCGACATATAGCTGGAATATTTCTGAGAACGGCGTTACGCTACAAACAAACAAACAAACAAACATCGGATGGTGTAGGGCAAAACTGTCTGCCGAGGTTTAGATGT